TTTCCAATCACAAAAGTAAAAAATATCGATTACTTCTTTCATTACTTTAGCGGAGTTTTACGGCGAATTTGATTTCTATCGAGCGGGAAGAGGCTCTAATGCTATATTTAACTTATCCTTAAGTTGACTGAGTCAGAATTGCTTAAGCAGAATTATAGGGAACATTTTTCGTAAAGTGCTTATTCTAATTGAACTCGATGAATAGAATTCATCGAAGAATCTGCTACGAAAAATATTTTGTATAATTGTTTTTAAGTAATTCTGACTCAGTAACCTCTTCTTGCTCAATAGAAATCAAATTCGCCGTAAAACTCCGCTAAAGTAATGAAAGAAGTAATCGATATTTTTTACTTTTGTGATTGGAAAAAGAGGATGAAAACGAAGCACGCCAGCAATATCTTTGATCCCATTTTGTAGAGCTCGACGAATAGTACAAATGGGAGAAAAACACAACAATTCTATCGTATAGTTTTTGCGCTGTGGAGCCTTAAAGTTGACCGTTTTTAAAAAAGGGTCTTCAAAGATGAGCTGCATACTCAAAGAGGAAGATAGATATCCACCTTATTCTTTTTTGATTGGATTAATCAGCTCTTTAGCTTCATTTTTATCTATAGCGCAAGAACTTTTTGTTTTGTTTTGTCTTCAGAAAACGTGAAATACTGAGTGCCACTTTTTCATTTTCGACCATTTTGTGACAGGCGGCCTGCCATTGTAAAAGTACTAGGGCAAGTTTTTAATATTAGCATTTGTACTACTCGAGGTGCTCTTTTGTATGGTATGTCCAACGGTGATGTAAGCTCTGTAGAGGCAGAGAAAAACAAGATCAAAGTTGCTTTATTAGAGAGAAGGTCGAAACTTGACGTCCCTGTAAAGGCATGTAGGATATGACTTTTTTAGTGAGCAAGTATGGAATTCTATGTAACTCTACACGAGTAGAGTCTTGAAATTTTTTCGGCTATTATATCACGTAACGGTGGGCAGACCTAAATGAAAGTACCCTTTTCCTCAGTTACAGTGGATAAAATAGCGTCATTTTCATTAGTGAAGACGTTTACTTAGTATATTATCCTGTAATCACTTCGTTTTCTGTGCAGAGATAAGTGGCAAATACTCCGCCGACTTAGAGTTTTTTTCAGAGTTCTGACTTAAAATAATTATTTATTCAATTATTTTTTTTAAAAAAAAGCGCGTATTACCATTACCGAACTAGAGAAGATGTACTGTACTAAACGTTCCATTTTGACAATTGCGTCACTCCTGATAGGCTCGATATTTTCAGCTAAAAGTTGTCGCATTGTCTACTATTACACAGTTTTCTTTCAGTTATTGAATTTCGTTCAAATAGGATTTGACTGTAGAAAACTAGTTAGATGAACAGGAGAGAGAGAACACACCTTAAATCAACCTTTGCACTACATGCAATAAAAACTATACTTTATTTAATCAAAACTAATTTAAAATCAACAGTGAAATGGACGTTCGAATCGATTGTGTCACGAGTCTAGTAAACCATATACTTGCTATTTCTTACTTATTAATTTTGAATAAAAATCTTTCTCATCTACAAACATACATTCATTTTTATTGACAATTATAATATTGTTTCACTTTTCTTATATCCAAAGTGATCATTTCCTTAGCAGCGCCCATAATTTCTTTTGGAACAGTTGCTGATGTAGGTAATAGTGTTGGTTGGCCATTTTTCGAAAATGCATTCCATTTGTAATGCATAATTGAACCTAAAAATGATAATCATGACAAAAGAAAGAATAATATTGATAAACGAATGATTCTATTATTTTACCTAGATCATAGGGTTGATTTAGCGTGCTCGATTCACCGTTGACAAAAGATTGAAAATTATTTGATTGTCCATTTTGAATATTAGTCCATTGCACTGCCACTGAACTATCCCGATCTGGTCGACTTTGTTCATGAGCAAAACCGACAGTATGTAATAGTTCGTGAATAACAATGGATTGAGATACACAACCGTTCTTATCGATAGATACATCTTGCGAACCGGAGCTATACTGTCGTCCCATATAAGACCAACAACTAAACCGTGCGTAAAATGGAAGTAAATATCTGTGACAAAAATCAGATCACTTACCCGGATCCATCGTATATTCGAATCCACGTAGGTTGACTTGTTCGCTGAACAAATCTGATACAATTATTTGTTTGTGATTCAAGTTTTCTCATCGATGCAGTTATTATATTTATTTGGCCAGCTGAATACGACGAAAAACGGTCAATTTCGTATGGTATGATGCCATTTGCCCATTTGGCTGCTTTTACATAGGCATTTCTATTTTCCGCATGTGGTACTGTTCCTTTTGGGAACGCAATATCTCCTTCTACAATTTCAATATCTTGACGATCAAGTTGAGCACCATCCAAATATAATGTGGCACCATTTAATGAAATTGTATGAACAGGCTTTATCCTTCCAGGGGATATAATGAAGTATGAAACGAAAACGATTGTTGTGCACCAGCAACTCATCTTTTTTTCCTACTAGACATGCATAACAAAAAGAGAATTTAAAATTACGATGAATATAAATAATGCATATAGGTCATGGGAAATATTCCATCTGTATTATGTACTCTTTGCCAGGAATGACAATCTAGTCTTTGTTTGTTATGTGGGAAAAATAGCAATCCAGTTTGTCATCCTACGCAACCATTGCACTCTTTGCAAGGTCGAGTACCAGTTTAGTTAACATGTGGTGGCACATTGAATAGTGTACCTAAAAACTATTATATCAGAAAATATCTTTGAATGGCTTTTTTTAATAAAGTCTTCTAATAGAATTAAAAGTTAAGGAGCATGAAGAAAAAGGAAATTTGTATATTTATTTGAAATATGAAGATAAAATGAAAGAAATAACGAACATCGAACTTCTTTTGCTATTTGACGAGGAAAGCTCTTCAGGTATCTCCTGAGTTTTGTACTATAAAGCAGTTTTTATTAATAGCGCGTGATGAGGATTACAAATCTCATGTACCTTTCGGCAGCTAGATCCTCCTCAGACAAACATGAAAAGTCCGGATCTCTAAGACCCATTCTGAAGTGGCAAACTTGGACAGTTCTACTTTGTATATATATTCTTGTAATCTCATATTCTCGACTAGAGATGTGTGCGGGTACCATTTTCGTACTCGTACTCGACGCGACAACTTTGTAACTGTGCCCGACCTGTATCCGACTTATGCCTAAAAATTTTCTCCTTTTTTTTCTTTCAGCTAAAAACTTTTGTTTTTCGGCTGAAGATGTCAAATTATCATTACGTTCTCAAGTACTTCTTTTTTAAACCTTCATGTATATTAGCTAAACTCCTGTATTTTTTCACTAAAATTTTGTGTGTTTTCCACTAAAACCTTCCGGTTTTCGGGTAAATTAAAAAATAATAAAACCCGTACTCATACCCGACAACATCACACTCGTATCCAGCCTTCGGATCGGGTCAAGAGACAAAAAAGTTAGTGTAGTCGAACGAAAAGACTTCGGGCTATCGCATCATGTACTATTCTAGAAATTGCTATTTTTGATGGAAATTGTCATTGCTGATGGAGGCCATCTAAAATAGCATAGTTTTCCACGACATTGTCTAAGGAAAAAAAAGGAAAAGCCACTATTTCATTAAAATAGAGGTTCTTGATAGTTTCGAGTCAGTTAGAAGTGTCTGTTTGATGCAGACAGTGGAAAAGAAATCGATGAAGTTTCCACAATAAGTAATAAATGGAAGAAAAACTAGTTGATTTAATCTTCTTGCTTCAAAACGCTAATAAAAACCGATCGGAGTCCGAAAACAACATCTGTTATCCTTTTCAACAATTTAAATAATCCCACGTGGAAAACACAGAAAGAACTGTTGAAATATGCTGAATATAGATACTTATTTTTGTCAGATCACATGAGTTTTATTGATTATAAGATTTCTACAATTTTCAAAAATCCTTGCTAGTTTTACTGTAAAACATAATAGGGTGAATAATTATCTATTTGTAAAGCTGTATGATTAAGCGATGGGAATTGATTTGAGGTATATGCTGCATATGGTGACGATTCCAAGTATTGTTGCTCTTGCGATAATTGGTCATCAAGATTATAACGAAATTGCCACGGTTTTGATGATGATTCACGTTCAACAATTGTCATACTGCAAAAATCAACTTTAGCAGCCAAGTCGGCTAGCCGTTCTGGTCTTGGTTGACCATTCATTAGATTTCGAGTGAGTACTTCAAGTGATGGCGCATGTGCTACCAACAAAATAGTGCCACCAGTTTTTTTATGTAATTTAATGATTTTTTTCATGGCGTCTCTTGAACGATCGTAATATTGATACTCATTTTCGAATAATTTTAAATCAGATATTTGTGAACGATATGTTTGATCGATATTAAATCCGCCATGTAATAATTCTTGCTCTGACATGAAAGTGATCGGTGCCTGCGCATACCAACTTGTACATTCAAATAAACCTAATTCTAAACGTATTGGTACAACCATTTTTCGTCCCATACCTTCAAGAATTTTATCAGCCGTTTCAATTGAGCGAAACGCAGGTGAAGAATAACAAGCAGTAATAGGTAAGTTAAAACGATTCAAAACATTGCCAACATTCCAAGATTGTAGCAGTCCTCTGGATGTCAAGGGAGTATCAACTTCGTAGTCCATCCAATTGGCTCGATACGGAAGACTTGGTGGCATATTGGCATCAAATGGATTATATTGACCGTAAGCAAATGCCCGCTGTGTCCATCCAGCGCCGTACATGACATCAACACGTTCTCCATGACGAATAACGATGAAACGAAGTGAACGATCACCGTGTGACGTACTGTTATTTGACCATGTTGAACTGTGAGCAAAACCGTAATAGGGATCATCGTTACCACCCACGTAACTTTCATGTTTACGTGATGATGTGCCGTGTAGAAGATACGATGGATCCATATACTGATTGAGTTTAGAAAACATAGAACTTATTTTTACCAAGGAGCGTATTTAAAATAAAAATAAAGCATGAAAGTATTGAGAATTTTGCTGGACGTTTGCTAAAATGAATTATATGTATTTTTAATATATCACCAAGAAATAGGGGTAAACTTTTTCACTATAGTAAGTGTCAAACCGACATACCTGACAAACTTCTTTTCGATCAACCGCTTTCTATGTCAAAAATTGCCAAAGAATTATTTTTCTTTAAATATTCTCATATTAGTGATGATTAAATTGAAATAAAGAGCATCAAAAAGCACTGTTTCTATAATAATTGAACTAAAAACGACGCACACACCAAGATAATGGTCATGATGACAACATTTACTATTGTAAAAGCAAAACAAGAAAAAAATGTACAGTTATACAGTATCTTTGGTACGATTAAAAAACAAGAAAAGCAAAAATAATGGTTGCGTGTATCAATATAAAAGAAAAAAATATCGAATCAATAAACAACACAAAAGCGCATTCTACCTGTGGAAAAAACACTCAGTTACTCATGCTTGTAAAAAAAATAGTGAAGAAAAGACGGAAAAACAGATGTTTCCTTACTCTTGATAATAAACACCAACAAGTATCTCAGAAAACCTTGAAAAATAGTAATTTTATCCAATACTTTAAAAAAATCACCGCTCATCATCGCATTTTGTCACAAAATAAAAATATTTAATAATTAAAATTCTCTAAAAATCTCACCTAAACATTGGGTTTTAGATGACTTGAAAAAATTTTACCTCGTGATTTAGTGCAAAACTTCGACATTTCAAAACTGATCAAAATCTCTTCATCTTGTATTTTAGCATGGGTCTCAAGAGATCGATTTTCCAGAGACCCACACCAGAAGTCCATATGGGCCGAAATGAATATCCTATATGTGATCAGTGTCAGAAATGACCTATAACCATGTATGTTTCAAGGAAAAAGCAATACAGAGTGATCCAAAAAAACTTACCCCCTGTGTATTTATTGACTTTCTTGTGTACAAATATAATTGAACTTTTTACCATTAGTTTATTCAAATAGAGCAAAGATTTCTGGACAAAATGAGACGTCTCCGAGCTCTCTAAGAACTTTTTTCATGAAACAGCATTCAATTTACGGAAGGTCCCAAGAGCATATTTTTCTTGTTTGCCCATTAATTGTCCCGATTTTGGTGGTATGGGACCTTCTGTAAATTGAATGCTGTTTCATGAGAAAAGCTCTTCGAGAGCTCGGAGGCGTCTCATTTCGTCCAGAAATCTTTGCTCTATTCGAATAAACTAATGGTAAAAAGTTCAATTATATTTGTATACAAGAAAGTCAATAAAATACACACGGGGTAAGTTTCTTTTGGATCACCCTGTATGTGATTTTTTTCCAATAACTTTTGGGATCTGAAAACGATCTTATCTGCTTCCCTCCTTTACAGAAACGGTGCCCGACGCTATTCTCAATTTAAGTCACCGATTAGGCCAGAGGAAAGTCAAGAAGCTGTAATGTCCGATTGCGATACGGGCAGGTGATTACTAAATCGATAGTTCAAACTTCATATCACGACTGCGAAGGTTTAAACGGTTGGTGGACAAAAACATATGTTTCAATTTTATACGAAAAGAACAAAGAGGGTTATCTCTCTTAGCAAGTGGAAGGAAACATATTTTTTGCATCCATTTGAACTAAGTCAACTCACTTTTGATATAAACTTTATTAAAGATAGATTAAAACTCACTTTTCTTTTATACACTCATAGACGATGGATGGACAAAAAAATATGTGTCCATGAACGGTGGACGCTGATGAAAGATTTGCTCGCTGCGCATATGAACCAACACCGACATGAAAAACTTGTCCGTTTCATCTATGGTAGATACATAATCATCCATTACTCACCTACCCTCGTAGTCAAAACTAGCGAGTCGCTGGGATCCATTTTGTTACTACATAGTGCATGAACAGCTCTTAACAAGAATTGCAGAATATGGAACAACGTATACAAAATCCGAATCCTTGCTCTCGATTATACTTCAAATGTTGTTCGATGGTATTGATGATGAGTGTTTGATGAATACAAATACATTTAACGATCTATGGAATTTTATTACAAATGAAGGAATCGAAAGTATAACACGATTTTCTAAGTATATAGCTGAAGATGATTTAGAATATCAAATAAATGATGATGAATCACCACTATATTTAGCATTGCAATTGTACAACAAAGAACAAGTATGTCAATTATTTAAGCAACATAAGATTGCCGATAAAGACAGATTATATGATACGGCGGCCGATAAAATTACCAGAGGTGGTTGGCTTTCAGGAATGCAATCAGTTAATAGAAAAATAGCACCAACAAAATATACCTTGTTACTTAAATCCATATCACAATTTGTACAAATAACTGATTCACCATCTGTACACGCAAACACCAGTCAATTGTCAGAAATTACAGCTTCGGGTAAGCTTAAACTACTGATCTACACGCTACAGTAGTATTTGCAATTGGTCTAGTAATGTGTTTTAAAAAATTTAAATTCTTTGCTTTGGATAGGCCCACTTTCTAGATTTGTGGATTTTAAGTTGTCGATTTAGAATTGCAGAACTAGACCGTAGAAGTGGAAGTACAGAACATTGAAAAGAGTGGGACAGCTGCCAAAGTTTTAGGACGATGAAACTAATAATAAAGATTGACATTTTGAAATATTTTATGAGCAAATAGTGTAATTCCGTACTTATGAGTAAAATGCCAGGACTAGAATTTTTTGAAGTTCTACTTATTTCTTACTTACTTTTAAATCGAGCATGCTTTACGAGCGCGACTGTAGAATAGTTTTGCCTACATTCTAACTTATTTAACTCAAAGGAAAATATGTTCTACTTTATACTTTATTAGAATTAACCAATATGACTACGCATTTAAACTGTCGTCTTGTAGAGACAAAACATGGAAAATATGATTTTCTAATTTTATCTACTGAGCGTTTTCAGAAGTCATTCTTCATGGTGAAAGACGAACTTGTTGTTTCCTATCATAAAGAACGAATTCCAGAAAGTTAGATCAGGAGGAAGGGACTCAGTTAATTTAATCTGGCATATTTTTGTTTAACTGAGCTATAGAAAGCATATCCTTGGTGGCAAAATATGAAAAATTAGCAAAAAACCAGCATTTTCATTTTTTCCACATGAAGGACATGTTTCTGAGAGTGCAATCTACAGTAAAAATCTGTCAATTTTAATTTGCTAAATTTTATCTCATGGAATCAGACGTATACAACTCGATTCGCATGGTCAAAAGCAGTATTTACTCTTTTTCACCATGAAGAACAACTTCTGCAAACCGCACTCAGAAGATAATATTCAGCAAATCAATTTTTCATGTTTCATCTCCAAAGCCGAGGCTCAAAAATGTTTCCGTCGACAAGAAAATAGAATCAAGTAGTTTTACTAAAATTTTGTATATCCGCTTTGCCACCAAACTATTAGACTCCATAATATGCTGACACTGGTGTGCACCCACTGATTGCTGGTTACGATCGGTTATGGTTACAGCGGTTATAACCGTAACCGATGCATGCTTACTCGCTATCCAGTACAGTGGTGAAGAAGGTTAAAAAATAAATCTTAATTATGACAGCTTTCTAGAAAAACGAGTTTTTCTGAAATCTTTTTAAGCCTAAGAAAGAAGTAGAACACAATGCACAGTTTTACTTCAGTGAAAAAAATGGAGTTTCAAAAATTTGCCATTTGAGTTCAAACTCAATGCTCTACATTAGGAAATGCGAGCAGTAGACATCCGATGAACTGGTCAAAGTCCACTGAAAACTCCCAAAAATAAAATTGCACTTTTCTGCTGGGCGAAGAAAAATCGTCACTAACTCTTTTCGAACAAAATTAAAGATCTTCAGTGTCAACCAAAATAAAACCAACTCGTCTGGTTCCACAAAATAGAAATGGTCTCGTTACTAGTGCTAACAGTTTGGTATATAGTGGTAAGATAGATATTACGTGGATTGATCCAGGAGAAGTTATTTCTGCAGATTTATTTTGTGAACGGCAAGAAATCAGGAAACGTCGCGTCATTCAGTAGCGAAATGAAGCTTTAGAGGCTGTATATATTTTGGTATCCCAAGAAAAAGCAAATGATTTCTTCAACAATTTCAATATGAAAAACAAATTTTTCTATCAATGAAATTAATCGGTGATAGTTATGCAAGGTTCTTTAGGCATTTTTAAATGAACAAAATATTTCATTTTAAAAGTAGCATGTTTTCTAGACAGGTATCTAGTTCAGTTGCAGAGAATATTGCAAACACCGAAACACTAGTAGAACATTATGGTAAATCGTGATTGATTCATAAACTGCTGATTTTTTCCGGAAGATTAATTACAAGTGCAGAATTGGCATTAATCTACATCTTTTTATTATTTCTTGAATTATAGATCAGTCTGGTTCAGATGGTGACCCTTTATCACTAAGCTATAGAAAGCATATCCTTGGTGGCAAAATATGAAAAATTAGCAAAAAACCAGCATTTTCATTTTTTCCACATGAAGGACATGTTTCTGAAAGTGCAATCTACAGTAAAAATCTGTCAATTTTAATTTGCTAAATTTTATCTCATGGAATCAGACGTATACAACTCGATTCGCATGGTCAAAAGCAGTATTTACTCTTTTTCACCATGAAGAACAACTTCTGCAAACCGCACTCAGAAGATAATATTCAGCAAATCAATTTTTCATGTTTCATCTCCAAAGCCGAGGCTCAAAAATGTTTCCGTCGACAAGAAAATAGAATCAAGTAGTTTTACTAAAATTTTGTATATCCGCTTTGCCACCAAACTATTAGACTCCATAATATGCTGACACTGGTGAGCACCCACTGATTGCTGATTACGATCGGTCACGGTTACAGCGGAAAATTTTTTCCGAAATCTGTTTTTGCTTATGAAAAGATAGCTTCAAGTCTTGGCCATCGAGTGGTGAAAAACGCAAGTCTTCATCTTGTGTTCCCTTCGAGTTATTCAAAATATAATGACCGGCCTTGCTTTTTGGAACGGATAGTAGCTATGTTAAAGAAAAAGCTGAATTTTAAGAGAACAAAGAG